ACTAATAATCTGCTTATTGATTTGTGCCTCCTTGACAAGGAAGGCCACGGTGCCCCTGTTTCCTAAGATTCATTGACAACAATCAGTGTACTAGTGTGTGGATGAGTGAATTCTTGGTGATCATAGGGAAAAGATAAAAATACAAAGACTGTTAGAGAAAAAGTAAGGATAAGAAGGAAATATAATGGAAATCTGATTTTGGTTATTTGGTCCCAGAGAGGTGATACAGCTCTTGATAAAAGCAGAGCAACATGTTCTGAGCAACAATTAAAGAATCATAATAGAACTATCCAGAAAAGAAGAAATGTTTAAAACCTTGCAAAAGAACTACTGGTCAAACAGTCAATTCTTGCATTTAAAAAATAAATCTTAGAGAGTGATCTTGGATTTTTACAACATATACCATTAAAATCTACTTTATAATAATTTAATGTGTATTTGTGTGTATGTGGGTATGGGTGGGTGAGTGGATGTTTTGTATATGTGTGTGTACATGTGTATGTGGGTAGGTGCACCTGTGTGCACAGATGTAGAGACTAGACATTGATGTATTTATCATTATCCATTTTTTGAGATGAGGACTCTCACTGAACCAAGTGCTCCTCCATTGGCTAGATGGGCCAGCCAGTAAGCTCTGGGATCCAGCTGTCTGTGTCTCCTCCCCAGCACTGGAGTTACAAGTGCATGTCACCACACTCAGCTTTTCACCTGGGTTCTGGAAATCCAAACTCCTATCCTCATTCTTGTGAGCAAAGTCTTTATCCACCAAACTGATTTTCTGATTTTTTTTAAGAAAAAAATTTACCCATTTATTTCCTGATTAGATCATATCAGGTTCACAAATTATATCATATCATCTCACATGTTATATATAATATGAACAGCTCTATAAAATCCATGCATAAAAATAGATTCTAATCGCTATCTTTTAGTAGTGATTCCTTACTGTATTTAGACTCTTTTAAGGCTTCCTTTGGATTGAAAAAGCTGGGGGTAACCGTAGACCAGTGCTAGAACCTGCGAAGTCTAAGAGCACCATGCTGTGCCTTACTTAATAAGGCAAGTTTTCATCAGTCCCATGCAAATGTCTGCTGCATTACTAAATGTCTTCCTGTCCCATATGTCCTCCTGAGTCACATTAGTGACCAAATGACCTCTACAGTTCAAAAACACTTGTTTAGCTATGGGTAGGTAGGGGTGTTCACTATGTCCACTCCTAGACTAGAAGTCATACATAAATACCCCTTATAACCTACACTTTCATGAATGCTGTGTTCCAAATGGCCATGGACATCCCACGTATTAAAGGTTTTCTTTTGTTCAGCTAGCAGGGGTAAGCTACCCACCTCCAAACTAAGAAGGCAGACAGGCACTTCTGATAATCATCACTTTAAAATGCCCTTTTCCAAATGTCTGGCTACTGTTGAAATATAGTTTTCTTTTGTGTTTTTGATTTTTTTTTAATTAATATCTTCCTGCTTGTGAAACCTGTATTTTCTCACTGTACTGGGATCAGTCAGCAAATGCTCACTTAGGCACTTTTAAATCTCTGTCAGTTACTTGTCGTGTACCTTCAACTTTCATGGTAATATTTCTGGGTTGCATACTAGCACTGTAGCTTCCTTGATGGATTAAAAGTGTGTTCTTTAGATGGGACATAGTGTGACAGCTGGATTTTTACCTCTCCCAAGTCTCAAAGAGTGCATTTGTCATTGTCATTAATATTTGGTTGGTTTTTAGATGAACTCATTTATTTGACACATTAAGTTATGCAAAGAAAAATATATGCAACTTCATAAAGAGAGCCACATTTTCATATCACTAAATATAGCTGTGGCCAAAAACAACAACAACAACAACAAAAAATAGTGAATTGTAGAATGGACCCCAGGATTTAATGTGGAAAACACCCTGTACAGAAAACTTTCACGCTTCTAACTTTACTGAATCCAGAGCTACACCTGTTTCTTTATGCTCCTCAGCTTCTTTCAAGTCTTCTTCACTTTCTAATATTTTCTGAAGAGCCATATATGCAGCCACTAATCAGCGCTGGCAATCTGGGATAATCATCTGGGGCTCTTGAAGGATTTCTGCCCGCTTTTTTTAAAATAATTTTTTATTTAAATTAGAAACAATCTTATTTTATATAATAATCCCAGTTCCCTCTCCTTCCCATCCTCCCATGCCGCCCTCCGACCCCCATCCCATCCTTCTTTTGTTATATAGAAAGTGTGAGGCCTTCCATGGGGCATCATCAAAGTCTGTCACATCATTTGAGGCAGGGCCTAGGCCCTCTCCCATGTGTCTAGGCTGAGAGAGTATCTCTCTATGGGGAATGGGCTCCCAATGCCCATTTGTGCACTAGGGATAAATACTATTCCACTACCAGAGGCCCCATAGATTGTCCAGGCCTCCTAACTGACACCCATGTTCAGGGGGCCTGGTTCAGTCTTATGCTGGGTTCTGAGCTGTCAGTCTGGTGTCCATGAGTTCCCCCTTTTTCAGGTCAGCTGTTTCTGTGGGTTTCTCCAACCTGGTTTTATCCCCTTTGCTCATCACTCCTCCCTCTCTACAACTGAATTCCAAGAATTTGCCTCAGTGTTTAGCTGTGGGTGTCTGATTTTGCTTCCATCACCTATTAGATGAAGGCTATAGGATGGCATATAAGGTAATCATCAATCTCATTATCATGGAAGGGCATTTAAGGTAGCCTCTCCACTATTGCTTATATTGTTAATATTGTTAGTTGGGGTCATCCTTGTAGAACTCTGGATATTTCCCTAGTGCCAGATTTCTCTTTAAATCTCTAATGGCTCCCTCTATTAAGGTCTCTCCCTCTCCTTCTCCCTCCCCCCAAACCCCTCTCTTGGTGTTTTGAGACAGGGTTTCTCTGTGGCTTTGAAGGCTGTCCTGGAACTAGCTCTTGTAGACCAGGCTGGTCTCAAACTCACAGAGATCCACCTGCCTCTGCCTCCTGAGTGCTGGGACTAAAGGCGTGCACCACCACTACATGGCAAGGTATCTCTTTTCTTGCTCTCCTCTATTCTTCCCCTGACTTATTTTTCCTGCTCCCTCATATCCTCCTCTCTCCTCCTTTTCTCCCCTTCTCTTTCTCCTAACTAACCCCCCATTCTCCCTATTTGCTCAGGAGATCTTGTCCCTTTCCCCTTCTCTGGAGGACCATGTATATCTCTCTTAGGGTCCTCCTTGTTTCCTAGCTTCTCTGATGATCTTTGCTCTATGTCTGATATCCATATATGAGTGAGTACATGCCGTGTTTGTCTTTTCGTGACTGGGTTACCTCACTCAGGATGATTTCCTCTAGTTCCATCCATACACAATGGTTTTTAAAAGTAATTTTTTGCCTGTGGCTCTACTCATGAATGTTTTTTGTTCATATTTGGTAACTATTGTGTTCCTATCATTTTCTCTAAGATTTTGAAATGTGATTGCGTAATTATGTACTGTTTTTGTTGTTGTTATTGATCTTTGAGTCTGTCAAGATAACCAGTCTTAACTGCTACATTTGTGACTTTCCTGTCTTTCTCCAACTAAAATTCCACTTATTAAACCAAGTTCTAAATATTTAAAAGACTGGAAACTTTACTCATCTCTGTCATTGGTGGTTTGTGTAGTCTCTCTTAGTAACTTCTGCTTGCATATGGATGTCTCTGTGTCCTGTTTCCCTTTTGTCCTCAAGAGTTACTGTTGCATGTGTAAAGTCTCAATTCCATTCATTCTCTTCCTCATGTGTAACAGGAGATAAAACCATGAGTTTATCAGTGAATACAATTATAGGCAACTTTCATATATGCCATTACAATTTTTGTTTTCTGAGCCAGACAGTGGCGCACATGCATGCCTTTAATCCCAGGACTTGGGAGGCAGAGGCAGGCAGATCTCAGTAAGTTTCAGGTCAGCCTGGTCTACATAGTGAGATTCAGGACAGCCAGGACTGTTTCACAGAGAAACCCTGTCTTAAAAACAAAACAAAGGTAAAAACAAACAAACAAACTTGTTTTCGGACCTACAACTATAGTTACTTTTAACTAGAAAAGATACAGATCTTTCTTTCTCTTAGTTGTCTTGTTGGATTTTACTTAATCTCCCATTATATACATTTTAGGTAAGAGCAGAGAACAGAGCTCCATAATTTATGCTTTTGGCATTTATTGAGGTTTATCTTTGTGGTCTAACACCTGCCACATCTGTCAGTCTTCCCCAGGTATTTGAGGAGATCATCTTCTCTTTTTTAGGCTACAAAGGTGATTCTTAGCTGTCAAGACTGGTTTTGGCTATGTGTAAAATATTCTGTTTCCATGTTCCATGTGTTTTTTTTTTTTTTTTTTTGTCTTTACTCACTCTGCAAAGAAGATTTCAAGGTATTCACAGTAAGTTTGTTTAAGTTTGTTTAACTCTGTCCACTGTGGTCTGGCAAGCTGGGACCAAGCAAGCAGCACACGTGGTGTAGCATCTGCTGCTTTCATCACAAATGCAGATTTTATTTTTAATTGGTCTTTTACATGGGAGTTTGACAAGAGTTCAAGTTTTAGATGAGTTGACCTCTGCTCATTTCTGTTCCAATGGCTTCATTTTTCATCTTCTTCCAGTCACAGTCTCTCTCTCTCTCTCTCTCTCTTTCTCTCTCTCTCTCTCCCCTTGCCCTCACCTCCCTCTCTCACACACACACACACCACAAGCTCAGCCCAGAGTTCTCACCTTCAGTCTCATTATGTAAAAATATTTTTAGTGTTGTCAGTCATAGCTAGCACACAAGAAGCCTAAGCCTGGGGTTTACATTTCTTTCAGAAAAAGTATTTTTCTCCTCTTCCTTGCAAATGCACCTTATTGGATTCTTAATACTGGACTTTATAGACAGATAACCTAGGAGATCCTGATGCACTAGCATATTCTTAGCGCTGTGGTAGTGAATGCTTCAGCACAAAAAGTGCTTCCTAAAGGTTCCAACATAAGCAAAAACGACTATCGTTTCCTTGCAGCATTCCCATCAATAACGTCCTCCAAGCCAAGTGTGGACATTCCAAATATGCCTTCCTCCACCTCTTCCTTGGCGGTCTCGCCTGCATACTCCATGACTGTCATCATCTCCATCATGTCCAGCTTTGCCATGTTTGCTCTTCTTACCATCGCTACTCTTTACTGCTGCCGAAGAAGGAAAGAGTGGAAAAATAAGAAAAGGTGAGAGTCTAGTTGAAGCTCATCACAAGTTGTCCCTTATAACCCACACACTCAGTTTGGGAATCGGGGGATTAGAAAAGGCGTTTCTATCACACCACCGATGCCTCACTAACATCCACACCCTGGCTTGAAATGTAGACACCCCTACCTTGAACTTTAAAAATGCCACATGTACCAAAGTCAGTTTTTGCAACAGAGAAAATGTAAGCATTGGTGGAAATGGCTACTCTGTTTTCTCTCACTGCTGCTACTGATAAGGATAGTGACAAAGTGTGCCTCTTGACTGGACAACAAGCAACATCATTGTTCTCAAGCCCAAGAGCCCTCAGCTGTCTTAGTGTTATGTATTCGATGTACTTCTAAATATCGTAAGGATCTAGGTCAAAGGCTATTGGTGACCTTGCCTCTTTCACCTGCAGAGAGTCAGCAGCGGTGACCCTCACCACACTGCCTTCCGAGCTCCTACTGGACAGACTCCATCCCAACCCCATGTACCAGAGGATGCCGCTCCTTCTGAATCCCAAGTTGCTCAGCCTGGAGTATCCCAGGAATAACATTGAGTATGTCAGAGACATTGGAGAGGGAGCATTTGGAAGGGTCTTTCAAGCAAGGTAAAATTAAACATGAGGGGCAAGGAGGAATCTCTGTTGGAACTCACTATACTTGTCAAATTACTGGATCATTATACTAATTTGTTTTGTATAAAATTGTTATCGAGTTACTTATTTCTTTCTATAATTTGTATTGAAGGCTATTTTTGAAGATTTATTTATTTTTTTATTTTGCATGGGTTGATGTTTTGCCTGTATGTGTATATGTGCACCATGTATGTGCAGTGCCCTCAGAGGTCAGAGGAGGGAACTGGGTCTCCTGGAACTGGAGTTACAGATGAGTGTGACTTAAAGCAATCAGTGCTCTGAGCCATCTCTCTGACCCCACATGTTTTATTGTAAATCTTAATATTATCCCCCCGTTTTTACTAAAAAAGTATAACTAGAAAGAATGTAGTGTGCTGCATTTAAATTTGTAATTTATAGGAAATACAATAAGCAGTTTACAAGAAGTTACTAGCAATTCAACCATATTTCCTTTCTAAAAAATAATTTTCTATACAGTTTAGTCATATTTTTTCTTACACTGCTATTTACTACTTCCTATTCTTCTTTCTATTGTTGTTCTCTGCTTCATTTGAAGTTCCCTTTGAATTAATGCTGAAGAACTCAGAGTTTGACTTCTTTAGTCATTAAATAGACATTCATAGAGTAACAAAACAGAAAGGGAAAATGTAAATAATCAAAAATCAGTGAGTTAAGGAAAGGGGCGTATATTACAGTAATCATTGCTCATTTCTCAACTTTGTGTGAAAGGGAATAAAATACCCACTCTGTGGATGCAGCTCTACAGACACATGGCAGGCAACAGTGCAATTAGATTTAATCACAAATTGTCAGTCTTGTCCTTAAGTAGGCATAGCCTGCTTCCATTAAAGTAGCCTTGACATTGAGGTTACATTTAAAATAAAAAGTCTCACACACTTGCTGTGAGATTGGCAAGATGCAACGTTGGGCTCTATGGGGGAACATAAAAGCAGTCAGCCCTAGTCCCCACTTTCAAGAAATTTAGATTCAGACTACAATTTAATGTTAGGTCACCTCTCTCTCTCTCTCTCTCTCTCTCTCTCTCTCTCTCTCTCTCTGTGTGTGTGTGTGTGTGTGTGTGTGTGTGTGTGTGTGCATGTGTGTGTATGTGTGTCTTTTAGTTGGTAAATAATACATTGCCAAACATAATCTATGCAGAAAATAACTAGTAAATTTCCTAACTGGCATACAGGCATTTAAGCATGACTTACTGTGTCATCTTCCTTCAGCTTTTGGCTCTGAAAAGACTGCATAAGCATGGTGGCAGGCCATATAAATGTGAGTAAATACAATCAGGAGGTATAAACATCCCCATCTTTGGTTTATCTCTCAGGGCTCCAGGCTTACTTCCTTACGAACCCTTCACTATGGTAGCCGTGAAGATGCTCAAGGAGGAGGCCTCAGCAGACATGCAAGCTGACTTTCAGAGGGAGGCAGCCCTCATGGCAGAGTTTGACAACCCCAACATTGTGAAGCTCTTAGGTATGAAAATGTCATTGAAGAAAAATTGTTCCGCAGCAAAGAGGTTTCCTGAGCTTTCCTTCCTTCTTTCTACTTTACTTATTTATTCTTTCATCTTTCTTCCTGAGCGGTGGGATATGTTTCTCTCTTCCTTTCCCACTTTAGCAGCTTCCCCTACCTCCTGACACACCTTCTACCCCAGGTTTCAGCATGCTCTGCTTCCTTTAATTCCCTCACATCTGACTGTCTTGGTCGTTGCTGCTCTTTTCTCATCAGAGATCTTTTCAAGGGACTGCATACGAAGAAAATCTCCTTGACACTAATTCACCAACACAGAATTATTTATTAATTCACCATCATTTAATTATTTATTAGTTCACCCTCACAACATTATTAATTTACCATCAAAAACTTAGTAAGGTCTAAAATTATGTGTATCACATTTGACCCATTTTATTTTTTCTTTAAGTTAGGACATCATGATTTAAATCATATTTTCATTTATTGTTGTGTCCCCATTTCATCACAGATTGATATATTTAACAAGTATTCACTGAATAGTTGACATAATTACATAGAAGTAAATAACCCTTTTAACATTGTCTGGCCTTGTGGGGCTTACATTCTTTTTAGGGGACAGCAGGAGTAAACACGTGCAAATGTGACTTTTATGCCTCTGACTTGTTTTAAAACTCAAAGCCAAGGAGACGTTTTGGAATGTGAGCTACTATCTTGGAAGACTTCAGTGGGCATGTGATGTTTATGTAAGAGAACGGTAGGGTAGACTGGAGAATGAGCCACTCCTGCACAGGCCCCCTGGCAAGCTTATCTAGTCCTTAGAGAACACCAGATGGGACTAGGAAGAGGGTGCTCGGTGCATGGTGCTCACTGCACCAACACGAAGCCTGCTTTTGGATCCCCTGCACTCACGTGAAGGCTTGGTATGTGATACATGCTGGTAAATCCCAACACGGGAAGCAGAGACAAGAGAGACAAGAACAACACTGGCACTCGCCTGCCTAGCAGAGTTGGCGAGCTCCAGGAGAAGTGAGAGACTCTGTTTCAAAAAACACAGTGGGGAGCAATTGAACAATTGGCATTAGTGTCTATACTCATACATGTGCACACATACCTACACAATGCACCCTTACACACAAACATAAATGTGTACACACACACACAGAGAGAGAGAGAGAGAGAGAGAGAGAGAGAGAGAGGAGAATAAAAAGTGATGAGGATGGTTTGAGAGAATTATGTCAGACTAGATCCCATAGTAAGTGCAGTGGGGAGGTTGGAAGATCCTGCAAGGCCTTCACACAAAGAACTAAAGAATACTGAGAGTGGGAGAAATAATCTTCCTCGGGGAAGAGCTCACCAACTCTTATCCTGTACCGAATCGTTAGCCCAACAATATACATACAAGTAACATCATGTAGACTGACCAGGTAATATATAGCACTATGTATGATATATACATATGTGTGTGTGTGCATGTGTGCGTGTGTGTGTGTGTGTGTGTGTGCCTGAAATAACAATTAGTGAAAAAGAGGCTGTGGATTTGAAATGAATAAATTTGAAAGTAAGGAAAGGGGAATGATGTAACTACTGTATAAAAATTAAAGAAGAAAAAAAAAAAAAAGAACCCTGGCTTACTGTAAATAAAATGGGAATCAAATGGAAAGTCTGAGCCAAGAAGTGGCCAAGCCATGGCAGGTCATGATTCACATTTCCCCAGAAGGCCTCTGGCTGGTTTGTTAAGCAGAGTTGAAGGGAAGGCAATGAAAAAAAGGAGATGGTGAATGGGGTCTTTCAATACACAGAAAGAGAAGATGCTGGCACGGGGCAGGAGACATGGTAATGCGGTAATGAGAAGGGACTGTGGTCTGTGTGCAATTCAGAGGTGGAGCCAGATAATCCCTTGATAGAACAAATGTGAACTGTGCAACAAGGAAGAGAGACAAGAAAAAGACCACACATTTTATTGAGGTTTTGTTGAATTCTGGAGTGAGGATAGGGATAGGACATTCATTTAAGTGTTATGAGCTTGAACCATCTGGGAGAATACATGGGGAAAAGCAGATCCTGCCTACTATATTGGTCTAAACTTCCTGTTCAACACCGATCAGACTCAGAAAACAGAAATAGAGCTTAAAAAGAGGTACTAAAAAGAGAAAGACAGCATTTTTGCTTTTTAAATTCTGTGTAACTTGAAAGCCTTTGACAATGCTCCACATTGAGAACCAAAGGGAGACTTTTTTCTTGCAAACTAATTGAAACTATTCCTTAAAATTTGACTGCATTTATATGTGTGTGTGCGATTTTACAGCATTCCCTGTTCCTGGGGTCGATTCCAACTCAAGCCAGATACAAGGCACTGATTTGTGGTTACAGAGAAGTATGTTTCTTCATCATCAATAATAGTTTCTCTCAAGTGTATTACCCAACATGAACTAAGATTCATACTACCTTTTGTAATTGGAGATAGAAGAAGAAGGATCAAGTGTTCAGTCACAATTGGCTCAAAGTGGATCTGAGGACAGCCATGATACTAACACACACACACACACACACACACACACACACACATGCACACATCTTTTTCCTGAGACAATTATATTGTCTTGAGTTCCCTAATGTAAAAATTCTTTGAAAACCAATTTAACTAGCATAGCAATAGTAAAGCTACCTGATGACACGGGTAAATGATTGTTAACAAAAACCCAAAGAAGGTCATGTAGGAGGGTCAGTGGAATGTAATCACCATTAGATTTTCTCTTTAATGTATACAGTAAGCTAAAAATTTTGAATTACAAAGATAACTAGAAAAGGCCCTATTTCTCATTTTTCTTCTTTCTTTCAAACTGAAACTTCTAATTTTTCCCTGAAAAAAAATTAATCTGACAATCTGTTTTTATTATGATGTGAAATTGTGCCCATCAGATTTAATGGTATAAGCTCATACATTTATTTCTCATATATAGTAAGATGTTAAGGTTTTTCAAATGTCTTCCTGACACTTAATGTGTGAACATTACTTTCTTTACAGAATGAACATCAATGATAAAAATGTAAATTCAAACTATTTTACTACAGTCACTTAGGAAGTTCCTCTAAGAATCTTGAATTCTTTTTATTAGTGTTCCTAAATGTGGTAGATATCTCTTGTTCTCATTCTTCAGAGAACTAAACAGAACAATTATATCACACATTCCTGAATCCAACTACCATATGTTACTTTGTACCTGGTCTCCAGATAGCTGGTCAGTCTGAGGGATTTGAAGAAACAGGGCATAATTTTTCTGTTCCAAGAGATAAAGTGTTTGGGGGAAACATCTCTAATACAATGAATGTATATGAAGTAAGGTGGTAGGCTATGAATGGAGGCTTCTGTCCTGCCTGGTCCTGTAGCTGTTCAGTCCCAAACACACACACACACACACACACACACACACACACACACGCGCGCGCGTTTATATTAATTATAAACTGTTTAGCCTAGTTCTCAGGCTTATTACTAACAAACGCTTACAACTTAAATTAACCTATAATTCTTATCTGTATTTAGTACTTTTTCTCAGTAAGGGAGCCTCATGCTGCTTCCTCTGCATCTGGCTGGCTACTGTGTCTCTGCCTTTCCTCTTCCTGGCATTCTCCTAGTCTGATTGCCCTGCCTATACTTCCTGCCTAGCTACTGGCCAATCAGCATTTTAGTAAACCAATGTGAGTGACAAATCTTCACAGTGAATAAGAGCATTATCCCATAGTAGGTACTATGTGGAAAGATAATAGAAGGAAATTTTAAGAATCAAGAGATCAGGAATTGAGACACCCTAGAAAGAAAGGAATACATCGAATTTTAACAGGTAACAGATGTTTAAGTGAAGAAGGGAGGGGGTCACAGTATGGCTACTGCTGTCTCTAAAGAGCGGGATTCCAGCTTTTCTGGTCTGGTCCTTGGATTTTGGAGTGTTCTTTCCTTGTGGAAAGACTCACCTTAACCAAGACATTATTTTGATTGCAGGTGTGTGTGCGGTAGGAAAGCCTATGTGTCTGCTCTTTGAGTACATGGCCTATGGTGATCTCAATGAGTTCCTCCGAAGCATGTCCCCTCACACTGTGTGCAGCCTCAGCCACAGTGACCTGTCCACGAAGGCTCGAATGTCCAGCCCGGGTCCTCCACCCCTGTCCTGTGCAGAACAGCTCTGCATTGCCAGGCAAGTGGCAGCCGGCATGGCCTACCTGTCTGAGCGTAAGTTTGTCCACCGGGACTTAGCCACCAGAAACTGCCTGGTAGGGGAGAACATGGTGGTGAAAATTGCAGACTTTGGCCTCTCCAGGAACATTTACTCTGCAGATTACTACAAAGCTAATGAAAACGACGCCATCCCTATCCGTTGGATGCCACCAGAGTCCATCTTCTACAACCGCTATACCACAGAGTCAGATGTGTGGGCCTATGGTGTGGTCCTCTGGGAAATCTTCTCCTATGGCCTGCAGCCCTACTATGGGATGGCCCATGAGGAGGTCATTTACTATGTGAGAGATGGCAACATCCTCTCCTGCCCCGAGAACTGCCCCTTGGAACTGTACAACCTCATGCGCCTGTGTTGGAGCAAGCTGCCAGCAGACAGACCCAGCTTCTGCAGTATCCACCGGATCCTGCAGCGCATGTGCGAGAGAGCAGAGGGAACTGTCGGGGTCTAGGATTGACTGTGCTCAAACAACCACAGTAGGCGCTTTTCAGACTGTGAGCTGGAGGAATCCTACAGCAGAGGCTGGATAGGACCAGAGAGGGAAGAGTTTATCGTAGAAATCATGAGCCAGTTGCTTGTTTGCCACCCCCCTCCAAAAAAAAAAAAAAAAAAAAAAAAAAAACCAGATCGTGAAAAACCCACAGGGTAGAAGGGTCTCATTGAAATAGGTAGTTGGAAACACAAGCTAGGAAAAGTAAGAAGATGTAAGTGGTTCTTCTCCCTCCCAAGCACAGTTCCTAATACATAATGTATAATGAGAACACCCTGGTTCTGTTCCTGCATCACCCCCCTCAGAGTGTCACCCCCCCCCCCCAGAGCGACACTGCTGTGCTTGCTTGAATCCATCCGGATGTGCAGCTTCATTTTTGACATAAGACATCCTGTCTATTACCATAACAGTGTGTGTGTCTCTGTATGCATTTAGGTAAGGACAGAAAACTAAAGACAGGAAAGCATTCTTTCACCACTCAAGATAAACTGCGGGTCCTTTCTGTTGCTTACTTCTTTCTTGTGTTGAATGTGCAATCACATATCTGCATTCTAGAGTTGCGCATCTATTTCACTGATGGGATTTGAAGGGGTAAAAATTGGAAAACCTGCAAGCTCTGTGCTGACCGCACATCTTGGCTTATTTTCTGTCTGTTCTCCAGCAGAAGCCCTTCCTTGGGGTGTGCTCACCATGGAGATGATTTGCCTCATTCCTGCTTTTCAGCAATTGTTTTTCATAACTTACCAGTCTACTTTTTTTTTTTGAGAACTATACTGGTAAATTTTCCTTAAAATAACATAGGCCACAGATACATTTTTCATCTATGTCAAGTATGATCTCTTCTCTGTGCGTTCTTGAAGTTGCCATAAAGTAATTATATTGCCATAGGTCACTAAATATCATAAAGCATGAGGTATAATGTAAGGTATTACAAGATGCTGTGTGGTCCTGAGCTATTTCATAGGAATGTTTTGTGCATTCTGACTTGTTATCTTTTAGAAGGTATTTTGATTGGTTGATCCTATGATTAGCAGAGGGTTACTTTGTAACTTCTGCACCAAACCAACTTGTTACTCAATATGATTTTTTTTTTAATTCCTGGACTTAGGTCCCATAATGCCTAAGGTTTCTCAGTGGAGACCCATACACATGAATAAGGGCATGTGGAGATGATTTTTCATCTGCATCAGGTTTCAAAGCCTACACGATATGCCTTGTTATTGTCTTCCTACGTGTTTTCAATTATTAGAAAGAAAGCCTATTTTATTATGATCAATTTAAACCAATCTAAATGTCCAATGGATGGCATAGTTGTCTCAGATGAGTTTGACTTGCTCTTTGAGTTAAAACCACTAGGTTTTTTTCCCCTTGGTAGCGGGTTAGAGTGTGATATAGTATAGGAATATGGTTCCAGTACAGCAATTAAAAAGAGGAAATATGTACAGGAAGATATCAATAAATCACCAGCAAGTCTACATAAGTGTCCAGATACCAAACACACCAAAAGTACCAGGTACATTTTACACATGATGCTAAAAAATGTTCTCTAGAATTAGCATAGAGCAGAAAAAAAAAACTTTCCTTCACTTCATAGCTTATTGTGAATCTGTTGCATGTCATTGTTAAAAACTAATGTAATTTCTTCGTATCAACTTTATGGATATCCCATAATTTAATCAGTCTTAGATTTTTGAACATGTGAGGTTCTTCTAATTGTCATCATTGGAAGCAGTATTCTGATCACCTGCATTTGTACACATCCCTCAATATCTCTTAGTGGAAATTTTAAGGAGAGAGATATATGGACCATATGGTCTGGATAATCTTAAGGCTTTTGCTTTGGGACCTGGAGAGATGGCCTTGCAGTTAAGAGTGTATACTGCTCTTGCAAAGATTGGAGTTCAGTTCTCAGCAGCCTCCTTGCAATCACCTGTAATTCCAGATCCCAGGTGGGTTCAAAGTCTCTGGCCTTTAAGGGCATCTGCTCTCTCGTGCATTTACCCACAAACAGATACCCACAATAATTTCAAAAATAATAAAATAAAAGTTTTGTTACATATTGTCATAGTCTCTAGAAATGTTGTTACCATAGCTGTGTTGTACAAGATAACTCATGACACTAAACACTTGCTATGATAGAAAATTAATACTCTGTCATCAAATTTGTGTGCGTGTGTGTGTGTGTGTGTGTGTGTGTGTGTGTGTGTGTGTGTGTGTGTTGGGGGAGACACAGTGTCATGGTGCACATGGGGAGATCAGAGAACAACCTCTAGTGTCGGTCCTCATCTCCTACCTTGTTTAAGACAAGGTCTTTTGTGATTTGCCACTGGCCTGAGAGCTTGAAGGGATTCTCCTGTCTCCACCTCCATCATGCTATGGAACGGAGGTTAGAGCTCAAGCTTCTACACCTGGACTGATATGCCTTCTGGAGATGAACTCCGGTCTTCACCCCTGTGTGGCAAGGAGTTTACCCACTCAATATTCTTTTTTCAATGAATTTTATTTTTTTAAACTCTGGTGAAATTGAACTGTGCATAGCAGCACAAGCCTTCAATCTCAGCATTTGGGAGCCTGAGCCTTAAAGGTCACAAATTCCAGGCCAGATTTGACTACCCACTTAGCAAAGCTCTGTCTCAGAAAGCAAAAGTGAGAGTTGAAATTTTCTTTTTTCTACATCATTTATACTTTCATTTTAGTAATTGTCTGCAGTCTAATTTTATATTGTGTTCAATTTAGAATTGAAATGTAAGGTTTATAATATAAAAAGTGTATTATGCTTCTGTTATACTTTATATGAAGAGAAAATAGATGTACATTTTACCTTAAAGTTTTCTTTCTTGTAAAAGTGTTTATTTCTTATGAAAAGGGAAAAATAACAAGAACATACATTAGTAACATATACTTCAGAATAATAATAAATCTTTGTAAGAATGAAGAAACTCCAGCTGTTGCTTATTAGTTTTAATATCACATAATATTCTTCTACCACTTATCAATAAGTAGATAGGGAAATAGAAAAATGATAGACAGATACATACATAGATAGATAAATGATAGGTAACTTAAAGCAAAGCAGACAGAATGATACTTTTACACAGATTTGATCTGTGTTCTTATCATCCAATGTACTCTAACATATTCTGTATCAAAAATATTCATGTACAGCATTGCTTGTAATGATTGAATATATGAGTTTATCATAGTTTTTATTGTTAGAATTAGACATATATATTTTCATAATAAAAATCTTTCATAATACTTGTTATGGGATATTGTGAACATTTTTCTTAAGTAATTTCTTTAGCAATCACTCTTAGAAGTAGAATTTATAGATTAAAGGGCACTTGTATTTTTAATGATTTTGAACATATTGACAATTACATTTCTTCATTTGCCAATATACGTAGCTTCCAGACAAATGACAGAGCACATTTCTGCATTTCTTTCAGCCTCACCAATTCTAAGTACGGCAGCATTGTGAACACTGCCAATATAGTAATTTAGAAGTTTTCATTCTGCAGCTTGCACTTAGTTATTTACATACCGATTGTTTTTAAAATTTCTCATTGTTTTGAGGACAGTTGACTTGGGATTTGTGTGATACTATTTTCTGTTGAGTGTACCTCTTTTTCATTGCTTCATAAAAGCACTTTATATATTAAAGCATTAAATTTTGTCATACATGTTAGAACCACTGCTATCAAGTTGAAATATATACAGTCGATTTTCTTGTGTCTTTGTTATAAGTTTTTATTCATTGAAAAAAAATGATGCTGAATTTGGACATATTCAAATGACTATTTTTCCCTAGTTGATAGGTTAATAATTTACAACCATGTAAATTGACTTCTTAATATTGAAACAACCTTGTATTCTGAGAATAAACTCTTTTTGGATGTCAGTCTTATATTTAACTTCTGACTTATTAAGATTTTGTGCCAGCATTCATCGTTTTCTAATCTCTTCTGAGGATGATGCCTGAAATTCCTTAGTCATATACAACCAGACCATCATGCCCCTGGTCTTGTAACAGTTCTAATACTTCTCAGCATTATTACCCTAGGGACCAAGTTTCCATAAAATGATCCTTTGGGACACATCCAAACCACAGCCAAACCATAGCACTGGCAAACATCATTCATAAAAAAAAAATCTCTTAAATTTATGAGATTAGTGCTGGTGTCTTAGAGTGAGTTATTCTTCATAAGAGTGGTTTGTTATAAACCAAGGTCATTTCTTCTACACATGCCCTACTATGTGTTCTAGCTTCCTCTGTATTTCCTGGGCATGTTATAATAGTTAGCAACCCACTACCTTACTGTTTGGACCCCCCCAGCCACCAGAATTATGAGCCAAATAAAGGAAAAGGAACTAGAGTAATATATAAATGTAAAAGGCCCTCAGACCTTAGTAGACCCCTCGACCTTAGCACAACTGATTGCATTCAGGCTATACAACTCAGAACATAGACAGTACCACCTACCAAAACTAAAGCAAAGGCCTAATCTGTCAAAGTCCATAGTTCTGGGAAAGTCTCTATATGTACTAACTTTTTGCTTTTTAGCTTCTGTAGTTCTGCTTCTGGTTAATTGTTCTTATTAACTGAAGTATGTCAATCTAAAATATGGGTTTTTTTTTTTTTTTTTTTTTTTTTTTTTTTTTTTTTTGTGGTTATAAAAGCCTACCCTAAGAAAGGCCTGGGGATACACTAGAATCCTGAACATACAGTGTAGATGCTGGATAGCTTATAAAAACTTCTCATTGGTTTAAACCCATGTCTGGGTAGTCTTTTCTGGTGGATACCCTACAACAATAAGAATATTTTAAACTATTTGTTTACAGAGGGAACTATTTGTTTATAGAGGTTTAGAGAGGTCAAGAAACTCTTCATCAGGGGGCAGATGAATAAAACCCAAGTCCTTTCTTGCTTCTGCACTGAAAACTTTATCATTGTTAGTCTA